CCCTCTATAAACTGACGAAGCAGAAACCCCGTGCTCGTTGGCGATAGACACTCGCAATGGACACTCTAGCTCGCCCACAGGCACACTGAACTCCCTACTAAACGACTGAGACACGAAGGACCGACTCGCCCCCGAGTCAAATAAGACCAAAGCAGGCAAGGAGTTCACTAAAAACGTACCTAACCACAGGTACAACAGATAAGCATACATCAGATATAGGAAACGAGATAAAGGATAGAAACATACCAGCAACCACATCTGGTGCTGCTCTGGCCTCCTCCGCTGTAAGCTGGAAGGCACGACCCTGAGCCTTCGGAGGCTCTACCCTGACTGGTCTCCCATCCGTGATCCTCAAAGTAGCCGGCGCTGGAGCCTGCGCCGGTTTGGCGGCGAGTAACGGGCAGTTGGCCTTCAAATGGCCAACCTGATCACAATGGTAACATAACTTCATACTCGGTATCGGAACGGCCTAGCGACAATCCTTCGCATAGTGCCCCTCCTTGCCACACCTGTGGCAGCCACTGCTGGCTCGACAAACACCAGAATGACCCTTGCCACATTTCCCACAAGTGCGGCTCTGCTGACCCCCGGTCCTAGTATCAGCGGTCTTTGACCGCTTCGGCGCCGGCTGAGAATGTGTCGGGGCATGCCGCTGTTCTCTCAATTGCTGCTCAATCTCCAACTCACGCCGTTTGGCGGCCTCATGCAACTCTAGAAGAGTATCACATCGTTGGGTAGACACAAACTGACGGATATCCGTCTTGAGCATGCTCAGATAACGGGTCATCTGAGCCTGCTCTGAAGCAAACTCCGGGCAAAACATCGCCCTCTCAGTGAACATCCGGGTGATCTCAGTCACCGACTCCCCATCCTGTCTCAAGCTCAGAAACTCCTGTGCCAATCGCTCCCGCTCAACCCGTGGAATGTAACGGGCGCGGAACATATCCCTGAACTGCTCCCAAGTAACAGCAGCTCTCTGATCATCAGTGTACGACCCAGTCGCAAGTCTCCACCAGTCCTTGGCCCCAGACCTAAGCAGGTTTAGAGCACACCTGACCTTCTGGTCAGCAGGACACAAGCAGGTGAAGAAACACCCTCCACGTCTGAAATCCATCTCATAGCCTTGATGGGATCCTGCGTCCCATCAAAAGTAGGGGGCTTCGTGTTATCGAAGTCCCTGTACTGAAAACCTCTACCAACTCCTCTCCTGCCACTGATACAGCTGATGCAGCTGCTGCGGCGGCTGTCTCTACAAGGGCTGCATAGCGCTCATCAAAATACTCCACCATGGCGGTCTTAATCGACCCGAACATCTCCGGTAACTGAGCCCGGAATGCAGCAGCAACCTCATCATGCAGGATCCCTCGAATCCTAGCATCCAACTCCTCTGTACCCATCTGCACCACCGGCTCGGGTGCTGTCGGCCCCTCCTGGCCTCTGTCCCCTGATCCTGATCCCGAACCGGATCCAACCACATAGCGCCTCGTCATCACCATTCTGAAACATACCACAAGATATCAGATAACCCATATAAATCACTGGGAGCCAACTCCCTACTAACCCTAGGGATTGTGACTTACTTGACACGTGTATGGGTCCTGTGCTTTCAGTAGTACGGGCCCATACTACCTTCCACACCTACCCATATTTGTCTCAAGCATCATCACAAAGCCCTATACAACATGGCGAGCGCTCAATTCTCACCCCTAGAGAAATGCTAACTATCTCATAACTGGCCTCCCGGTCTCTCACTACCAACCCATCTACCAACTGCCACACGACCCTTCATTGGTGCCAGTTAACTATTGCATGAATACAATCACATACCATACGACTTAAACAATCTTAGACTAAAAGATTTAACCCCACAACGGTTGGACTCAGACAAGAGCTACGCAGCAGGACCAAATCCCTTATCCTAAGACCATTTAACCCATGTAGCATGTGAATTAGAGTATTCACCCAATGGTTAGTTCACACGCGAAAGAGTCACAAACAATCAATTGAGGTACTCTACATAAGATAAGGCATCAAAGATCAGGCAATTCTATCATACGAGTCCTGAGGATCCCTATCTTATTACTAGCATGTTGTTCTAACATATCACATAATATCAAATAACTTGTATGGTATTTTGGGGTCTACTTACTGGCTTCGGCTGATCGTACACCCTGCTTCCTCCTTTACTTATTTTGAAAACCTTTTTGAAAAATCGTTTTGAAAATCCTTTCCTTGATTTGAGACTGGAGTTACACGCATATTCCTCCAATTCACTCAAACCAAGGCTCTGATACCAACTTGTAACACCCAAAAATTTCAAACCAATTTAAACTTTTAAAACATGTCAAGTTCATCAAACATTACAACTTTGTTTTCAAAATATTATTTATCAGAGTATTCCCAGAAACATAAACATAATATGAGGAGCTGTATGATCATGCCTTCGCCTTGCCGCGATCCCCTGATGTACCTGAAACAATAAACTGAAACTGTAAGCCCGAAAGCTTAGTGAGTTACCCCCAAAATACCGATACACATACAGTCCACATAACCATATCATAACAAACTGAACAGCATGTAATGGGTCCACAGCCTTACAGACTGGATTACCCCTGGGCCCACAGTGTGAGTCTGGATTGCCTTACGGGCCCACAACTCACATTTGGCTTGCCATCGAGCCCACAGTACGAGTCTCCCTTAGCCCGTAACTGGAATGCTCCCGAGCCCACAGTACGAGTCTCCCTTAGCCCGTAACTGGAATGCTCCTAGGGTTTGTTGGCTACCGCACGGAGCAGTACAACCTCAACCCATCCCACGTAACATATAGCATACAACATAACCACTGAGCATGCAATAATCATATAACATCACAGGTAGTCCTACAGGTCTACCTAACTGGCATAACCACTAGCATGCAACACTAACTCATACTCAACATCTAACACTGCTAAGATAACATATCCAATGGGTCGGCCTTGGTGCCTTAGACCCCTTAGTATAGTGAGGATAACTCACCTCGCAAATGTCGACTCGGAAGATAAAACCCAACCCTCAAATCACTTGGCACAGGCTCCACCACCTAACACCAAAGCACAATATACTCATAAGTCCTTAACCATATAAGGTACTACATAACCCACTAGTCAACCCCTGGTCAAAGTTGAAGTCCTCAGTCAAGGTCAATAGTCCATGTTGACCCCAACTCGCCGAGTACCCTCGGCTACTCGCCGAGTTCCTTGAAGCATAAACCAACTCGCTGAGTCATCGGGGTGACTCGTCGAGTTGCTTTGATTCTCGTTCAAACTTTAAGGCCACCCGTCGAGTTCCCTCCTTGCAACTCGACGGATACATACACATACATATCCTAGGGAAAACTCATCCGACTCGCCGAGTTGTTCTTCAACTCGCCGAGTCTTATGGTAATCTTCATCGGACTCGCCGAGTTGTTCATCCAACTCGTCGAGTCCACGGCCATCTTCATGTGACTCGCCGAGTTAACCCTTGCGACTCGCCGAGTCCATTCAGTCCCTTTTCCATGCAGACTTGTTTTGAGCCATGCAGCGGCTCCAAATCACAGATCCAAGCTTATAGGGCATGCTTATCACGTAAAGTTGCAAACTTTACGTGCATGCATGGCTATAAAGGCTCTAAATGCCTATTTTAAGTTCTTAATGAAACTTCATGCTCAAGAGGGACCTTAATCCTGACCAAAACTGAAACTTTATGCTTATAGAATCCAAGGAGGGTCCAGATCTGAAGTTACAACCTCAGATCTAGCCCATAGCTCATCTTTCCAACTTAATATCTCACCAAAACCCCTAAAACTCAACCAATAGAAGAGATTCACAAAGAAAAGGCGATTTGGTTACCTCCAGAAGATGATAACTGAGATAAGAGTTGATTCCCACACTCTACTTGCTCCAATCTCCTTCTCCTCTAAGCCTTCTCCCTCCAAGGATCCTTTCTTCAAGCTTCAAACACACAATGGGCACACACACACACACGTATTAGGGTTTTAAGGGGCTCTCAAAGACTGCAAGGAGGCCATAGGAGGCTTATCATTCCTTAAATAGGGTGCAAAACCCTGAGATTTAGGGTTTCTTCTGCCAGCTCCTACTCGTCGAGTCCCTTAGTGGACTCGTCGAGTAGGTCACTAAACACGCGTTCCAATCCCGCTGCTACTCGACGAGTAGGGCAACCAACTTGTCGAGTAGGACAATTAACATTTTATTTAAATCCATACCTGGAATCGGGGCGTTACAGATTTTATGATTTTCCGCATTTTAATACTCTGATTTAGGATGACTGTATTTGATTCACCTGAGATTTTTATGACTCGGTTTTTATAATATTGGATGTTTCTCTATTTAAAAATGAATTTTTTCGTGGTAAAAATCAGCGTGTTACAGTAAACACTTACACTTCCTTTACCTCATACACAAGAGATGTAGGAAAACAAGTAAAGAAACGACGACTCTATAGGACCCATATTGGCCGTTGAAGATGAAGTTAGCTTTTTGCAAAAAATTTGCATGTAAACAAAACACCGAAAGACAAAACCTATGTAAATAAAAGGCAAGTGTGTTTGTTGTAGGGATGGCTCATTCTTATATATTTTTTTTCCAAGCTAGAGCTTAGGGCCCGAATTCTGCTTAGGGCCCGAATTCTAAAAGGCCTATATTCTCAAAACTTAACCAAATGTTAATATATCTTAAATGGGTTTGAATAAACTCAAGGAAGCACTCTGCAAGTAAAGGTTGTACAACAACATATATTTGTTCATTTGTTGGTTTGCTATCTTTGTGCGTGTCGCCATATAGCTTCAACCACATACTGTTATAAATTTGTTCTATATAACTTCTTTTAATATATGTTTTACACATGCAATCCATTATTCGCCAAATATATGGAATGCATACGCATGTTTCTTATGAAACAAAATGAATCAATGCTTCATATATTTTCAAGGTTGATCTCTTACTATTTTAGTACGTTTTCCATGTCAAACACGTCCGCATCATCTACTCGTCATGTGTTTTCCTCATGACTCGTGAGTTATCAACCCCCACCTCATCGTAATCTCATCAAGGGCGATACGTTCAAATTCCAAAGTCTTTAAAATCGGTCCAAAATATATTTCCTTACTTCTATTGCACAACACCGTCAAACATCCTTTCTCCGTTTCCTCGACTCGAATCGACTTTCCCTAAAATCTCAGTTTTCAGTTACGAATTCAATTCTTTTCAGTTTCTTCCGTTTCTCTCTCTCACACACAAACACAAAGGAAGACACACACTAAACAAGATCAGAGATGATGTCAATTGAAAGGATTTGCTCGCATGAAATTCTGTGTGGAGTTCAAGAAGAAGTTCTCACAACGATGGATCAAATAGCTCGAAGGTTTCCGAAAAATTCTATACAGAGTACGCCCTGATGTTGTAAATTTAGTGTAGTTTTCTTCTAAGTACAATACAATCAGATAATCATCAGGAGTGACTTCTGGAATTTTTCGTCAATTTTATGTTTTAAATTTGGAAGATCGTATATCCGAATCGGTTTTTATCACTTTATATTGCTAAAGACTCTTCGTTTTCTTAGTTTAAGTAATTGTTAGAAGTTTCGGTGTTTGTTTGTCTGATAAACGAAGTACCGTAATTGAAATCTGGTGTTGATGGTGGAATTATAGAATCCTAGGGTTTCATATGTGCTCTTTCCTTTCTAAGATTTGATAGTTCTGGTTGGCGTTGCTGTTTAAGCTTTTAGATAAGTAAATTGAATGGCGGGAAGTAGTAGTGCGTTAGGGTTCCCGAAGAGTCAATGCTGTAGCAGTTTAAGAGAACAGTTGGCGAGAACTACATTACGAAATGTGAGATTAAAGGGTCACTCGTATGTGGAGCTTAGGGAAGATAACAAGAAGCCTATATTCTTCTGCGTTTTGTGTCTGTCTCCATGCCATAACGATTCAGTTCTGCATGATCATCTTCGCGGGCATCTCCATAAGAAGAACTATGAAGCTGCTAAGTCTACCTTGCTGAAAGAGAATCCTTGGCCCTTTAACGATGGGATGCTTTTCTTTCATACTCCATGTAATGAAAAGAGTCCCTTGCTAACTTCAAACCCTAACTTAGGAAGTAATTTGCTGTTGAGTGAAAGTAATGAGAACAACAGTCTTGCCATTGTTGCTTCTAATGGAAGCCCAAGTTCACTTGGAGATGAAGACAATATGGATGTTGATGAAAATGGGTATCATTTGATTGTACCACAAGTTCTGCATAAAGATATAGTTACTGATCTAGAAGTTAGATCAATTGGTCTTGGGAAAATTGGTGTTAGGTACTATCAGAAAGATGGAGTTAGAAAGGGTATCAGTAGAATCTGGTGTGAATGGATTGGGAATTGTCATCCTAATCAAGATGATACAACCCCACATCATGACTTTGCCATTCTGTCATTTTCATTTAACTATGACATGGGCAGAAAGAATGTGCTAGATGAAATGTTGTTTTTGCCTTCCTCAGAAGTAAACAAAGAGAATAGAGGAAAGAAGAGGAAGTCATTCTCTGATCCAGAAGATGTGAGTGAATCTTTGAGCAATCAGTGTGAATCTTCAGGTGAAGAATACTTGGCTTCTGGTGACTCTAGTTCAAGAAAACTTGTAAAATACGATGATAACTCACTGAAATTGGGAATTATACCTAGCCGAAGTGTGAGGAAAGAGTTGAGGGTGCATCGACGTGTAGCTTCAGAAAGAGTGTGTGATATCTGTCAACATAAGATTCTTCTTGGTAAGGATGTGGCTACACTTCTCAACATGAATACTGGTAGACTTGTTTGCAGCAGTAGAAACTTGAATGGGGTATGTTCAATATCTCTTCACACTCTTTATGTGGCTGTGATTATAAATATGAAGCTTTTCTGTATAACTATGCAGGCGTTTCATGTATTTCACATTTCGTGCCTCATTCACTGGGTACTTTTCTGTGATTATGAAGTTTATACAAAACAACTAGTTGCTCCTAAAGTAAAGAAGCGAGGTAGAAGGAAGAAAGGTGTCAATATTACTGAAGCTGAAAAGGAGGAAAGAAAGCAAATTTATTGTGCATTTTGTCCAGAATGCCAGGGGACTGGTATAGACATTGATGGAGATGAGTTAGAGAAACCAACAGTCTCCTTATCTGAGGTTAGTAAAATTTATATTTTTCTTTATATAGTATTAAAATATAATAGCTTCCAAACTATGGTGTGTTATTCTACATTATTTTCTTTTTCAAAACCTGGTAACCGGGAAAAGTGGCTTCTTTAAGGGATTAAAAAAATTATAATGGTTTGATCATGAGAGAATATTTATATCTTTTGTTACTCATAATGATTTTTGAACAACCAAAATTCCCTCCATTGTTTCAGATGTTCAGGTATAAAATGAAAGCAAGTGATGGACACAGAGAATATAGAAAATGTCCTGAAATGTTGCAAAATTGCTCAACAGGGTTTCATTTTCCTACCCAGTCTGAAGAAACAATGCAGGTTATACATTTTTGCTGTTGTAGTTTTCCTAATTTTATTAGGGCAAATTGCATGAAATAGCAACGTTTTTTTTACTCTTTTTGTCAATCTAGGAAATATACTTTTACGTATTTACCCATTACAGAAACATACTTCCAATTTGATAAATAATCATGTATGTAATGTTGGTTATTTCAGGAAAACGTGTCACCATTGAAGATGCTTCGATTCTATCGTGCTGTTTGAATAATGAGTAATGTAAACCTTATGTATGTAGTTGTACATTGGAAAAACATCTGAAGTAGGTCCTTGTAATTTGTAAATGTACATGTATATCATCTCAAGTATATGGTTCTTTGTTTGGGCTGTGGTTAATAATTTCTATTTTTTTGTATGTTTTTTTATTATATAACAAATTAATTGAACACAAGATGTTGAAACCTTGAGTACGTATTGTAATGAAGAACCAATTCATGGCAGTTGTATGGATAAATGATGTTTATAATATATTAGAGAAAAATGTAGCCACTTAGCAAAATGGAACCAAAGAATAAAAGAGGGGAATTTTGTAAAAAAGTTGGGACTAATGCGCAAAAAAAAAAAAAAAAAAAAAAAACTCAGTTATCACTTTCTCTAGCTATATTAATTCCAACAAACAAATAATATATTTGTAGGGATGAGCATCGGTCTTGAATTGGAACTGAAGAATCAGACAGAATACCACTGTTCTGGTTCCAATGGGTCATATGCCTATCCATATATATTTGCTTTCTTAGGGGTTAAAACACAAAGCTTTCGCTGCTATAACCAGGTAGATTTTGCAAAATATAATGTACTAAAATGAAAAGAAAAAAGAAAAAAGCACGATGTTGTTATTCAGTAGATTTTTCAAATTGCAATGTTTGATAAGAAAAAAATTGGATTTACAATGTTGCATACAAACAGATTATAGTAAATTACTTTAATAAAAAAACTATATGAAAGTATATTGCTACTTTTATATTTAGTCCCAAGAAAATTCAATCTTGAAAACTATAACCAGAAATGAAAGTATGCTGCTATTGTTAATTGGTTGTAAAACCAAACAAACACCGTATCTAAACAACATTTTTTTTATAACATATATAAGTCCTGAATGTTTGCTTTGTCATATTTAGACTTCGGGGGTGTTTGTTTTATCTTTTAAAACATCTTTTAGCTTTTAGGAAAAAATAAAAAACTAAAAGATGTTTGGTAAAAGCAACAGATCTTTTAAAAGCTACTTTTGGATATAAAGAAAATAAACTTTTTGGAAAAGTCAGGTAAACCTGACTTTTTGCAACTTTTCCTAAAATGACTTTTGTCCTCTCAAAAGCTAAACCAAGCACCCCCTTCGAGCAATAGACTTATTTGCAAAAATCCTTCATCTTGGATTATACATGCTAAATCTAACAAACAAATTTGCAAATGGTTGAAATTTTGTTGTCATCAACGAGCCAAATAGATATAACTTGAACTGTAAGTACAGATCAAACGTGTCAAATAAATCATAAGTCATTGAACTCAACCAAAACATATTCGATGTTTCATGTTTATCACTTATACGCCTTTTTATCATTTTTTGACGAAAAGTTAGAATATACTAGGTTAGTGTTGTTAATGCAATCATCATATCTATAAAAATAAAGAATTCAAACTGAACAATAAATACCAGATGATTAATTTTTATTATTCCTTCTAAGCTAAATCAGCAATGAATCCTTCTAAAATATCAATATAAATAAATAATCATCTAAAGCTAAATCTCAACGATTTGCAACATCCTTTGTCGATCGAAATGCGATTACTGGTTGTTGACCGACAAATTGAACGCGACTGCAAATGAAGAGAAGAAAATGAAGTCGCCGGCGATTGGATAAAAGAGTCGACGATGAGATTAGTAATGTCGGTAAGTGGTTTCCTGTACTTGTTTTTGTTCTTCTTCTTCAACGTCATCTTGGCACTAAGCTTGTTTTTGGAGATGGAGAAAAATGGAGGAATGTTCTCTTTATTATCATGGTATTGGCATAAAGAGCTCATTCCCTCCATCTTCTCGATTTCCAGAGTAGGAGAAACTTGACTGGAAGAGTTAATATATACGACTTGGATTTGGATTTGGATTTGGAGGGATGAATTTGATATTGAAATTTTGGGGATTCGGACAGTGGAGGAGGGAAAGGGAGAGTCTACATTTGGGTTTACGGAAAAACCAAAACTTGAAAAAGCTTTTCCGTAATTTTGGTTTGGGGGGCAAAATCAAATTGGCGCCTGCGGGCTGCTCTTTTCTCCGCCGTGTCATTAAAAAAAATGATTATTGTTTTAAAATAATAAAAAAAACAATTATTCGTCATATGAATGAGGTCGCTTAACTTTTTCCTTTATTACCTTTGATTACTTTTACTTCCAAAATGGTTTATTCAGTCGTTTATAAGTTATAATCATTTCAACTTTGGTTAAATGTCAAATTATATTAGTAACTAGATTATAACTCGCGTTAAACGAGGATGAACGCATAAAAAACATACAAACGTCTTTGGAATTTATTATTTAAATATTATTTGTTTTTTTTTAATTTCGAAGTATACTTTGTTATTTTAGGGTTATGAACAAAACCTATATAATTTCGATTGTTATTTTAGGGTCATGTCCCGAAATATATAATTTATTGAGTTCTAAAAACTATAAAAAAAATAGTAACAAAAAATAGTAACATGAACACTATATGTTATTTATAGCAACATACTTTCAAAGTTCGTTGTTATTTTTGCTCATTTATGTTATCAACATGTGTATTACACAAATTTTAACCTATAAATGGATCTTAAAATTATATTATGTTCTATAGGACATAATTATATTAAATGCCTAACATACATAACATATATCAAATATTAAAATAAAAGTATATATTAATTTAAAATAATTAGTATAACAGTCTAAAAAAACGTATATCTTATTAATTTTAATGAACGCATCTGCAATTGTGAGGTTTGTCTAATGTGATATGGTAATAAATCAAAAGTAAGCAATGTCCATTTGCTGAATATATAGAAATAACAGTTTTGCCAACACCTCTAGCAAATAGAGTTGTTGAAGCATCTATAACAGTCCCCATGATTATACAAAGAATGGAATTAAAGAATATTGGTGAAGATAATAACGAATTAAAGTTGGTTAACAAATATAGAGATATAATTAGAAAACATGTGTCGTGATTTTATATTAAATAAAAATATATATCAAAAATAGATGAATTAAATCCTTTTTAATAAGATTAAATTAAATGATTGTTTCTAAATTGATAAGGGTACATGATTTTGAAAAGATTTAAAGATAATATTTACTTATTAAACGATTTAATCATAAATGCCTGCATTCTATATATTGAAACATGATAAATATACATATAACTATTTTGGAAAGTGTTTATGATTGGCGGTATAATTAGAATGATAATCTGCATAAATAAGAATATAAGATTCATGAAAGAAATTAAAATTTGTAGAGTACGTGCTCGTGTTGACAATTATACCATTGGTCATAAGTAATTACCTTTAAACTTAAAACAAATTAACAATAATAGACTTGGTAAACATAGTTTGTTATTTAAACTTAAAACAAATTGACAATAATAGACTTGGTCAACATAGTTTGTTAAGAACAATAAAAAAAATTATTGTTATAAAATCTTGTTTGTGGAATAACAAACTCAGTGGTTTAAGCCAAAGATTAAGGCATGAAGAAGTAACTTTTTGATCAAAGTCTAACCGGTAAAGTCAAATATTGGGATCCTATTGCAGATTTGCAAAGTAGGATGATATAATGTGTATATACTTTTAAAAAATAGTTGAAATATAATTGTATCATGCTGCAAAACATAACTAATCAAATATGATTCCAAACAAAATTTTATTTTAATTAGGGTAAAGATACTAAATGTTGACGAATTATAAGAAAGTTTGGTAGTAGAAATCAAAATTAGTACCTCCAAATCAGTAAGATTGCAATGATGGATGAATCCAGAAGTATAATTATAGTATGTGTAGGTGGTAACAATGTCATCGGCTGTGTTCTGACTACTGTTGTCTTCAAATTTGAAGAACATATTAGTGTTATTTTGACTTAATACATAACAGACTTAATTAATTCAGAAAGAATGAGTACCAAATATGCAGCCAACAGACCACATGTCAACAACTGTTGAATAATGAGTAGCACCCAAAAGGACTTCTGGAGCTCTATACCAAAGGGTCAATATCTGAAATGATACAAGTTATTTAGCAATCTTCAAATTAACTTTTTTTAAGAATTTTAACCATTTTGTCAATCGAAATGGTACTTTTTTAAGAATTTTCTCCCAAGAGGACTGTCTTCCCATCTTTGTTTACACATTGTTTCACATCCAACAACCTGTTTGATTTCGTTAATCGCAGTCAAATCGGATACGCATAATATAAACCTAAAACCCAAATAAGAGTGATTCAAATAAAAATTCCCGTTAGAATAATCAAAATGGAAAACCAGATGCAGATTCATAAAAATTCAAATACCTTGAGAAGAAGAAAAGCGCAATGGGAATAATCTTTGGTAGTGAATCTAAATTTCAAGTTGTTGGTGACAAACACGATGCGGGAGATGCATTGATGGATGATGCGACCTGAACTTCAACCGGATTATCGCTGGTAAATCGGGTTTCTCGTCGCCTCTGCAATATCACAAGAAAGAGAGGCCGTCAGCCGTTTCCCGGGAAGGTGCTCCCGGAAGAACGCTCTGACGGTCAAGTTAGAAGGTATCTAGGGTTTGTTGTGTCTTCTTTTAGGGAGAAGAGCTTACCTCGTGAGTTTGAGAGTGTATCCTTTTATACCTAGCGCTCCTGCCCAGTCCGTACTAGACAGGATCGCTTTTTGGGGAGACAAGATCAGAGGCGCTGATTGGAAGGTCGTGCGTCCTCAACCGTTAGAGCGCTCTTATTGGCTCTGGCGGTAATGGACTGACCCCACCATTTGTCCCCTGATTGTCTTTTTTGTCTTGGAGCTGGGAGCGTTCTTTGGCGGGTGCGAGCCCCTCGCCTAGGCATTCTGTCCCCGGGGGCGCTGGCGGGCGCTGAGCCCGCTGGGCTTAGCCCGACTGGAGTGCTCGGTGCTCTGGCTAGGCGCGATTCTATCGTGCCGTCTTAGGCACGTCATCAAGTCCCCCAGTCTGGTAGCCGTAGCGTTGCAGCGCTAGTTACGGCGTTCCGGGCTTAGTTAGCTTACACGTGTCGGTTTTTCTTTACCCGCCGTTCCGCCCTTAATGGCGACGTGACTGCGCATGATGGCTGGCAGTTACGTCATCGTGTCAGACATTTTAAATGCCCT